TGGGACTTTGGATTTATTACATTTACTTGAGGGTTACTTCACTGCTTGATTTCATTTCGTTCAGTCAATTTATGCCCAACTGTCAAGGGCCAGATACAATTTTCTTATCACTAGAGAAAATCATAGGGAAATGTCAGGTAAAATTGACTAAAATAACAGTATAATTCCCAGGGGACCAGGTGGGTGGATAAAGACATTCTACCATTTGCAGGGACTTTAAACATGCAAAGCTGCTCCAGCACCAACAACTTTACAGGTTTTGTTTTGCCTGTTGATGGCCACGTTGCCTACAGGTTATGGACTTTCCAGGTCTAATTTTTTCATCTCACTTCCATTAAGTTGCCCTGGTTGTGGGTCAGGATTTAGAGTCCTTTAGTGGAGGAGTTGTTTTTCTATTTTGCTAAAGCAGTGCTCAGGCAAAAGGTAAGGAAGAACAAAGCCAAAATTATGCAGCTGGGGTCACAAAATGAGCCTGCTTTCAAAGACAACTCCAGACAGCCAAACTCAACACTGAATTAAAACCAGATAATGACATTTCTATGAGCTCTGACTGCAGGAATGGATGGTCCCTCATGGGGACAAGGCCACCAGAAAGCAGAACTGGTGCTTCACCCATGGCACAGCAATGGCTACGGGCAGGAGCTGGGCTCCGCTGGCACCTCCTCAATCTATTTAGATCCAGTTTAGCCCTCAGCTGCTCCCTGCCAGCCCAAGAGCTGCCAACCTGAGAGGGCAAATCCCCCCAGTCCAAACTGTGTCAGGCACAAACCATATCGGTGAGTGACAAGCAGCCCTTGGCCACCTTCGCTGATGTGAGGCTGTGGTCTCCTCCTTCAGCCATTATACCATCAGGTTTTTAGTTAAGAAATTCATTTCTTAATTAATTTACAAAGCAAATATTTGCATTCTTATAACAAACTTACTTTTCTCACAGCCATAGCCGGTGAATCCTGGAGGACAGCCACACTCGCCCGTCAGGTGATGGCAGGGGGTGCCCGGGGGACACCGGCACCGCCGGGCACAGCTCATGCCGTAGCGGCCAGGTAAGCAAGCTGCAACGGGTCAACCGATGCTTGTTAGGTCAGGGGGAAGGCAGGACGATGCAAAGCTACCACCCCACAACAGATCTGCTGCAGCCATCCCTGTGAACACTCCCAGAACAACCCCATGGAGCAATGTGGGAGTGAAAGGATCCTGTCACCAGCTCCAGATTTGGGAGGAATCACGGAATCGTTTGGTTGGAAAAGACCTTTGAGACCATCAAGTCCAACCACACCTGTCCTCTACTAAATGATATCTCTGAGCACCTCATCTACCCATCTTTTAAATACCTCCAGGGAAACGTATGTCCCAACCTGAACTCTCCTCCATAAAGGTGTTTGTCACACTCACGTTTGTCACAGTGCCTCCCTCGCCATCCCTTCTCACAGTGACAGGCTCCAGTTTGATGGTGGCAGGACAAGGCATGTACGCAGTCACATCGCTCCTCACACCGCTTGCCAAAAAATCCCAGCGGGCAGACTGCGAGGAGAAGCAGAGAGAGCAACAGTTCTTCCTGCTGCACGGAAAGCATCTGTCATTGACAAACGAGCCAAGATTGTTCTTCATGCACATGGTGATGGATATTTAGAAGACTGCATGCCCAGAATATATCATTGAAAGAGAATATATTAAAAATATTAAAAGCATTTAGCATTGGCTATTAATGAATCCACACATGAAAGTTAGCAAGGACTTCGTTATAGTCTAGAGTACAAATCCAGATGGTGTCTATAGAGAGGGTGATGCCATTCACTTGTAGACAATTACGCATAGACAGAGGGACAGCTGTTTGAACAGTGAAAATACACTGTGTCCAGGTACTGCTTCCCACCTCACAGGTCTCTGCAAAGTGACCAAAGAGAAAACGAGGCCCAAAGAAAAGGAAGGTGGGCACTGTAAAGGCTTTACACTGGTGGCTGAGGTTTTGCGAGTCCTCAGCACCTCAGGAGACATCAGAAAATTACTTGAGGCTTGCAAAAGTCACAGCATGTCAGTGGCTGAGCTGGAGGCACATTTCAAGTCATCTGATACCTACTCCTTATAAGATTTCTGTTCCAGGGATTTACATGGTTCTAAACATGCCAGACAGCTATGTCAAATCTGAGCAATCTGGACCACACGCAAGGTAGGTGGAGTCTGAACCACAACAGGCCAGTTTGCTGAGTTCCCCTCAATGACTTAGAGATGCAGGAGCACGTGGCTGATCTGACAAACTCTCCTTACAACTCTCCCTTTCCTATGTTCTTCTTGTTCCCATAAGGTAGAGAAACACCTGGGCAGGCAGGGAACAGAAGTAGGAGGAGATAAAATGATTTGGACAAGGACGTGTATTTGTGGTTGGGCAGAGACCTGCCTGCAGAGCTCCCGAGACACACGGTGAGCACTCACACCAGCATTACCTCTTACTGGAATACAGAATACTGGAAAATTAAGATACAAAATAGAAACAGACTTCATATTGTGGAGTCAGAAATGGCTGGTTTCAGAAGAAAGTGTTAAAATAAAGCATCTACAGAAGGAACTGCTCTTACCAACATCACAGCGGTCCCCAGTCCAGCCGGCATCGCAGATGCATTTCCCTGAGTGCTGGTCACAAACCCCATGGTGGCAGCTACAGTTCTGCTCACAGCCCTCTCTGTACCTGCCGTCCCCACACTCTGGAATGAGATGGGGGGAGATTGATGGGGGACCAGGCTGGAGGGATTCCAGAAAGAACACGTTTATGATTCTGAAATATGATAAGCCACCTAAGCTGGTCCTAAAAAACTTCAGTGAGGGAGATCTTGAAGTCTCCCTTGACAAAATTCTCTAGAAATACTTCATTTCCCTCTTAGAAGACTTTTATTATTTTTTTTTCTCCACAAATTGAGTTCATTACCTATCTTTCCCAAGGGACAGAGAATAGCTTAGTCCTCTCCTTTGTCCAGCAAGTTTCTAGCACCATGATAGGTTCCAGTGCCAATACCATATCTCCCCTCAGTCTTCTCGTTTCTGACTAAACCCCAGATTTTTCAACCTCTCTATGCCTGGTGCTCTCCAGCCCTCTGCCCCCCAACTCTCTTTTTTTCTGGGCTATCTCAAACCAGACCTCACCAGAACTGAATTTCCTTGCAGAACAACTGAAATAAGGTGCTGGAGGAATGGAGGACATGATGAGACTCACCCAGCTCACATGCTATCCCCATCCAACCCTGGGGACATCGGCACTCGCCTGTCACCCGGTCACACGTCGCCTGGCCATGGCAGATGCAGCGCTGGAGGCAGTTTGCACCATACCATCCAGGAGGACAGGCTGCAAAGAGGAGGTAGGACAAAAGGCAGGAGAGAGATGTGGGTTAAACACAACCTTTCCCAGATTACACCCCCTCTTGCCCTGGTGATTGTGGAGATATTGTGGGAGATACAACTGAGTAAAAATGGGGCCACGACTGATAAGGAATTACACAGACCAGTGTAAAACTCACCAGGGAACAAAACAGGTGATGAAGGGAATTAGCTATGACCCACCAAAGGACCTCAAGATTTTCTCTTCACACCTACGAAAAACATCTCTTGGTTCCTACCAGATTTCTCAACACCAAGAAGGGGAGTTACTCATTTCCCTGTTTCCAGAATTTCTTCGTTCAGTCCTCTTAAAAATCACAACTCCTTTTCTAATTGATCCTGCTGCCCACAGCTGGATGATGACACTTCACAGTTTACCTAATTTTAGGTAAGCAAGTTTATTAATTCTCATTGTGACAACCAAATCCTATGGATAGACCTTAATGTTTTTGGCATAAAAAATACACACCTCTATTGTGTGCCAGAGTGGCACCTTTTTAACATGCTAACAGGAGCAAAAGCACAGTCATCAGAGGATGGTTCACCCATCCTCACACACTTATTCCATCTCCCTACTTTCAAAGAGAAAAGAAACCCCTGAATGTATTGTTAAAGAAAAAGGGTATGTTTGAAAATGCCTTCATATTTGACAACAGCTCTTTCAACTGTTGCTTTGGTTTTGCATTTGAGGCCTTTATGCCAAACAGAAAATTTTAGGTCATGTCATACATGTCATCAAGAACGGTTTCCTGCCTTCACAACTTTTTATTCCTTCATGGAAAGAGTATTTCATATTAGGTTTTAAAGGGGGACTCACTTCATTTATATCTTCCTCTGCCCCTAACGGTTCCCTACCCATCCTCTCGTTATGCTGAAGGGCAGCTGTGGTTTGGGTGGAAGTGCTGACTCCAAAGCCCAGCTCACCCTGGAGCATCCACAGCCACATCCCCAGCTCTGTGGCACTGCTTACAGAGCCAGGTACTGGCAGGGGTGGCACTGAAAAAAGAACCTGCTGCAACAAGGATGGACAGACTTTTCCTAGTGGCTTGGATGCAGGCCATTAGGAGGTGAAACATAATCCCCAGGGCAGCCTTTCTTTGTCAGCTTCTTTTCTTAAGACTTCTTGGAGTTGGGTTTGTGTTTGAGTCACACGTATCGGTCTAATTGCCGAGGCTGGAAGTCCCAATGCCTTTCACATGTTCTGGATTTAGCCTATGTCTGGAGCAGTGCATGGTAATGATGTGGATCAGGTGGGTGCACGGGATGGTAAAGCAGATCATAGAAAAGAAGAGAGTTTTGTTTCAGTGTCATAAATGGGAGTTTTATGGACCTTTTCTCCCTTAATCAGCCTTTAAAACCGGCTCTCTTTCCAGTTTATGACTGTTTCAGGCCCCTCTGACTCAAGTACACTAAGCACCTGCAATAGGGCATCACATTATTTAATGGACTGATCCACATTATTGTGTGGATACAAAACCAATAACAACACAGGGCAATGAGCTGATAATTAATACACCAACAAAGCCCTCTGAGCAGAAGTTTTACTGTTCCCTCCTACAGTCCTCTCCCAGAGGAGTGAATTTCAGACTGTACCTTCTTGGCAGGTGGCTCCTTTCCAGCCCGGGCTACAAAGGCACGTCCCAGTTACATGGTGACAGAGTGCTCCATTGTGACAGTGACAAGAGTGGCTGCAGTCTGGCCCGTAGCTGTCCCCCTGGCAGGCTGCAATGAAAGAAGTCCATAAACCCCTATCAAGAAGTATCAAAAAAGGCATTGATTGCATGGAGCCAACCTGAGACACAACCCAAAACCCCACCAAGAATCATCAAAGAAGGCATTGCACGGAGCCAACCTGAGACACAACCTAAAACACCATCAAGAAGCATCAAAGAAGGCATTGATTGCATGGAGCCAACCAGAGACACAACCCAACGCCAGAGAAATCAGTTTGAAACTGGCTCCTGACACACTTTTCACATCATGAGGGTGCCTGAGTCCATGTATTAACCATGCCTGACACTAAATAATGTGGCTTAAAAATACATATCAGAGCATGTTCTGAAGAGGTTTTTATCGAAGGGCAGGATCAGTGGGGTGATGGATCAGCTGTCATCCCCTGCCCTGCGGAATGTCTTTGTGCTAAACTAATGGTCCAGCAGAACCACCAGCTTGACAGCCCGGGTATTTATTTGCATCCTGGTAAGAGAACTGACAACTGCATTGTTTTCAGTGTTCATTTTTCACAGCTGGATGCCTCTGTTCACCCAGAGTCTCATTCTTTGGTTAGAGAGGGGTGATATTTTCAATGTATTTGGTTAAGCAGCTGGCTCCCAGGTGAAAACTTAACGCAGCCATCTCACCAATGTACGCTTGCTGCAGCTGTTTTCAGTGCTGCTGCTGCCTACGAAAAACAGCGGTGATAAAATTCCTGTCTCCACTGCACTGGAGATTTGGATAACTTTAAATGGAGAAAACAGACAGTTTTCTTCAGATATCAACCCAAAAATACTAACTGAGTTGATGAAGCTGGATAGTCTCCCTGCACGGTTTCTGTGCCTGCCTTGCACAGGTTCTCCTTCACTTGTACGAAGCTGTCAGAGCCTCTCATCCCTGCAGCACTGCTGGCACCATCGGAGAGGAAGAAAAGGCTCTGATCCCTGATCCAGAAGAGTGTCCTCAACTTGCTGAATGTGACATCTCCCAGCATCAGCCCCAAATGATGACTTTACGAAAAGCTCTATGCCTTTGAGGGTGTTGGTGTGCAGAACAAGATGCAGTGCTGCAGAAGGACACATCCCTAGGGACTGAAGGGAGGAGTGAGACCATCTTGATCTCAGGGGTGAACTTGGTTGACAGTATCTGACCCATTCTCAGCCCTTTTCTTCCCATCTGAGGACTTTCAGCTCCCTGACATGGTTCTCACAGACATCATTTCTCCCAGGACTTTTCAACAGTCTACATTTTTGTCATCGCTTGGACCCCATCCACACTGAAATCACAAGAAAGTGCAGGAGCTTAGTCCCATCACAGTTAAAAGTTTGTTCTGCAAATGAGGCTTGGTTGCCAAGTTAAAGGTTCAGCCCGTCTTACAGAGCTCTGGCTCAGTTTTGGGAGCAGAACTAAATATTTCCACAATACAGACCAGAACTATATCATAACTAAGCCAAAGGAAAAACCAGCTCATAACCAAGTCCCCTGACTGGTTACTAGTAGTTCGTGTGAGGTTTTTGGAGTATATGTGCAAAGCTCTTGCTATGCTTACTGAGAAGACAAAACAGTTTTCCAGTTAATATTCTGGTAAGAAAGCAGAACTTTTTGGAGAAGAAAATTTTATTATTCTATTGGGTGGATATAAACTTTTTTTTTAGCTTCTCTGTAGGACAAGCCTGGTTATTAAAGTACTTTTCTGAAGAATAAGGTAACAAGTGATATATTTAAGCTATTTTATGAAGTTCCACAACTGAATGTACAAATGACCGTAGGACTTTTCTCCTTTCTTCATGATGAGTGCAAAGGAAAGAAGCAATAGAAAGGTTTAAATTATTAGACTTCTTCCTGCTTCCGAATTTTCCTCTTGGTGCCTTTCCTCTGTAAGAGGAGGGATTATTAATTTGCAGTCTTTAAAAATACCTTTTTGCATGTAGAGTAAGGAACACATGAAACTGGAGATGAAAACATTCAGACTGCAAGTCAACAGCCAGCGAAAGTGTTGGGGAGCACAGGGAAATGATGGGCACTAAGACTCAAGAAGCTTTGATTTCATGCAGCGCTCGTGGACTATTCTCCCCAGAATTAAGATCAGCTTTAAAAGAAGAGGGAATTGGCAAAGTGAAGTGCTCCTACACTAGGAAATGTCAAACCCCTGGTTATCAGCGCCCCTGAGCAGAGACAACCCCTCTGAACTAATTTATTTTGCAAATCAGTGTGGTATTTTACCACAAGGAACTGCCTCTGTGAAGATCCTGCTGAGCCCCAACAGCTCCAGAAAGAGGTGGTTTTAGTACTAACAGAATCAGGGCAAAATCATAGAAACATGGAATGGTTTAGGTTGGAAGGGACCTTAAAGCTCATCCAGTTCCAACCCCCCTGCCATCAGCGGGGACACCTTCCACTAGACCAGGTTGCTCAAAGCCCCATCCAACCTGGCCTTAAACACTTCCAGGGAGGAGCAGCCACAGCTTCTCTGGGCAACCTGGGCCAGTGTCTCACCACCCTCACAACAAAGAATTTCTTAAGATCTCATCTCAATCTACTCTCATCCAGTTAATAACCATTAGTTAAAATCTAAACGAATCCACTTTATAACCATTGCCATTGTTATAACCAAATGCAGTTATGGAATTGCGTTCAGCTTCTACAGTCATACAAAACATGAGATTTTTTTTTTCTGGTGGTTTGTTTTGTTTGTTTGTTTCTCGAAACTGCAAAATTTGGACAAGTTTGTATACAGAAAGGAAGGAGGTTACCTCTCTGACACAAAGACATGCCAAATGTCAGGTCCTCACTTCTATATTGCCGAGGCATCATGACACTCTACAAAACAGTTTAATTTATTTTAAACATAGGCAATAGACCTTTCCTAAACCTCTTTCTTGGAAACCTAAAATATCTTAGGCAGACACTGAAGAAAAAAAAACAAAACACCCCAAAGTAAAAAAATTACCAAACACTTTTAAACTGAGGCAGAACTTGCTTGGCAGATTTCATCCCAGACTAATATAATTCATTTACAAGCAACTGAAAAACACAGTCCTGCAAAGGCAAGTGTTAGCCAGCTTCAACAAAAGGCATTACAGTCCGTATCGCCCCAAATTAGATAGCAGTGTATAAAACCCACTGCATGGCCAACTTAAGATCAATTCAAATCCCATGATGTCAAAATTATTCCTCAATATCCTCCAGCACATTGCCTGCAATCTGATTACTCGAACACGAGTGCTGTCCTTCCAGCTGCTAGAGCTTGCAAGTCCCAGGAACCGGCAAGGTGAATATTAAACACCCAACAAGGACCGGGAGGTGTGAGCTGGTGACTCCGACCTGTGGTCACCTTACTCCGAGCAGCTTTGGATCGGTGTGGCCAAGGTCCAGTCTTAAAATAAAAATGAAGATTCATCATTTGGCCAAGAGAAAAGCAGGTTCCTCTTTGCACCATTAATAACTTTGCTGTTTTCCTTACAGGTAAAGGAGACCTCGAAGGCTTTGGCATCTTCACCAGTGTGAGGAATAAATCAACCCGGCATAAAGCTCTCATGGTTGCAGGACAAGAGAATAAATAGTTTCTCATGTGAGTAGAGGGGGGCCATTGACAGAGAGCTCCATTTCTTAATTGAATTTAATGAAAGATGCAGGAACGAAGCTTCCCATCCCTAATGCAGTCTGAAGAGTGGCGAAGGGTCAAGGTGACACATTGCTAATGCCATGTCTTGGCTGAAGGGCAGTAAAAGTGGGTTGCCACCAAGAACCAAACATCGTACCTGTTCAGCAGCACCTTTCCTGCTCTGTGCTATGGCTATATGGCTCTGGCTCTGCATTTATTTCACCATCACCTCATTACCCTTCATGCCCAGGGGTGTATTACCACCACCACCACCTTCAGGCAGTGGGAGATGGAGAGCCAAGTGTTCTCATGGCGGGGGCCACGAGAAGGCAAAAAGAACTGCAACTGTGGGGTATTTGCAGAAATATCTAAAAAGTGGAAAGATTCACCAGCACTGACTGGTTTGCAAACCAAAAGGGCAGAGGATTTGGTGGTAGAAGCCCTTTCAGAAGACAGGCTGTGTGGTGGGGGGCAAACAACAGAAATATTTTATTAAGAGCAAGCACAGCCTTCAAATTGTGCTGCTTATATCATGGTGCACATCTAAGGAATAAGATTGTTTCAATACAAGTACCCTTTCTCTCTATTTTCTAAATTAAACTGATTTTCTGTTGCAGAAATCTACAATCTATGGCTTAAAGTCATCTTAGGAAAGCGTTCACTAACAATGAAAAGTTGGCTCCTTGTAGAGTGCTGCTTTGGACCCCAGCTCAACAGCACAGTCCTGCAGACAGCAGTCCTATTTTCAAAAGGAAGTATAGACCATGACATCATCCTAAGGCCAAACTAGAAAGCTGAGAAGCTAAAACCTGACAATCTTTAAAGACAACATATTTGTTAAATTTTGCAAGTGAGCTCAGTGATCTCCATATGTAATGCCATGTAGCTAAAGAAAATAATTTAAATTCCCATGAAACTTTGTGAACAATTTCTCAGAAGAGTCAATTTGATATATGCATACACACAAACATACAAAATCCCCCCTTATTAGTTCAAAGATTGTGGGATAATTATACTTCTAAAAATCTAGGGAGCTGACTTTTTTAAAAAACAAATAATTTCTCTAAGAATCAATTAAAAAAATATTTTCTCATGCTGAAATAGCAAAACAGTCCCAGCTCTGATTTTTCCACTTTGTGCATTTGTAATCTGTCACTTTATAATTGATACTCAGCTGAGATACACCAGACACAGAGATACAACATTTCATCTCTTACTGTCGCACAAAAATAAAAAGCAGAGATTTGTCATCTGGTAGGAGACAGCTCTGCTATTTAAAGACTGATGCTTATCATGTTTGACAAGTGCCAACCACAGTTAAAAATAATAAAAAAAAATTAAAAAAAGAAGAATTTGATTATTTACACAGCTTCCAAAAGTCATTCCCTTTTTTGGCATCTTTGGAAAGGAACGTGACCTATCTAAAATTGTACCCTAGTAGGTCACCCTACATTCCCAGGAGAAACTCATGTTAGTGCTGAAGGGATCTGAGAAGAGGGTTGGGGGGTGGAACCCATACGTACGCTGCTCACAGGTCTCTCCCAGCCAGCCAGGCAGGCAGTGGCATGTGCCCAGGACGTGGTCGCAGCCAGCAGCATTCTTGCACTTGCACACCTGGTGGCAGTCAAGCCCAAAGAATCCATCTGGACAAGCTGAAAATGCAAAATATCCTTCTGAAAATGCAAAATAGCCTTTTTTTAAGCCAAGTTCCCATTTCTTTTTTTTTTTTTTCTTTTTCTTGTATAAACTCTAGCTCAGAAATCTGAAAACACGGGGCGCTGCTCGTCTTTTCATGGATGTTTTGTCACACATCACTCTGTGATTATGCTTAAGAGCTAAAGTTGCTTCAAAGGTTAAGCCTGCACAATTCTGCTACTTGTATCTCAGCAAAACATGACCCATTTGACATAAGCAACAGATTTCTGCGTAGAAAAACATGACTGAGAATACTGAAAAGCCATAAAAAAAGGAGAGAGAGAATGGATCTGGATTCACACAAGCCAGTACTTGTGCTTCTGTAATGGACAGAGTAAAAAGGAAATAATTCAACATGATGCAAGACCAGGGGGACATCCCTGCTGATCTCCTCATCTTTTGAAATGCAAAACTTATGCTCCCATTTACTCTCCTGACACCTCTCTACAGATTTTTATCTTTTTTTTTAACAGTAAACATAAGCCATACTGGTGTAGTTCAGTGCTGAAATGAAAACCTAACAAACAGAATGAGTAAAGAAAACCAAGATAACTTTAAGTGTAGCAGAACAACTCCAAGAAGGTTAAGAGCTCACTACCCTACATCTAGGACACATAAGGAAGAGCAGCCCCCTGCATTCAATTTCCATCTCTACCAGTGTTGGCAGCAGTGAAAATGTCATCGATGTCCACATCATACCCCAAATGTTGCATTACAAGAATGTTAAGGCTGCTATGCAGAGCTTAAAAAAATAATTAGGAATTACGTTGTCTATATAGTTCATAGAATCATAGAATCATTTGGTTGGAAAAGACCTTTGAGATCATCCAGTCCAACCGTACCTGTCCACTGCTAAACCAGATCTCTGAGCACCTCATCTACCCGGCTTTTAAATCCCTCCAGGGATGGGGACTCCACCGCTCCCTGGGCAACCTCTTCCAATGCCTCAGAACCCTTTCAGTGAATAAATTTTTCCTGATATCAAATCTGAACCTCCCCTGGCACAATTTGAGGCCATTTCTTCTTGTTTTGTCAGAAGTTACTTGGGAGCTCCCTCACTCTTCCCCACACCTCCAACAGACTGGGTTGGTCCCAGGGAATCCCACTGGAGAGTGGTACAGGGGAGCCGGAGTTTGCAGCCTCCGTGTCAACTCATCACACTTGGTGCAAACACAACTCTTCCCTCACAAAACTGAACAAATATTTCCCATGTGAATGTGGGTGGTCAGAGCCTGTGGCTATAGTCTTAATTTAACCTCTCTATCTGCATATACATGTGAGTGCATTTACATTATGTAAGTACATATATAATTATGTTATAGTGTATGATAAGAAATCTGTAGACACACAGTTGTATGTCATTCCTTCCACAGAACCCCTGGATGCTCAGTCTCAGGAGCGACGGTGCTCATTAAATGAGCAGTTATTCAATAAAACTTCACTCTTTGTTCTCTTTGTTCAACACAAACTTATATTTAAAATCCAGTTCACACACTTCTACCCTGAAATCTGAACAACTGGCTTCCCAATAGAGTCTTATGCTAATTATCACCATACACATTACCCAACAACCCTCCATACTCATTCCACAGCTCTCTACCAGGTCAGAATAACAATATTACCCATATGCATCTTCCACTCTTGGACTCTCCTGTCCCTTTTCTTGCACTCTCTTCTTCACGCCCAGGCTCGTTGTCCCAGGCTGCTCTTACTGTCACTTCCACAAATGTACATTCAGTTCTCTAGCAAAAAGCACTGTTTTGGCTACAAGGGGGGAAAATTCAGTATCTGTAGACAGAGACAAACCTGGACCTTCAGAGAGCGCTGGTGGTAATGTAACACCTGCAACATCTGCTTTGCCTTCAACTCTCAGAGCTGCTGCTCAGCTTGTGACTACATATGATTGTTTCATCTACTCAAGATCATAGGGCTGCTCTTCCCTTCATCCTGTCCAGACTGCAACTTCTTCTTTGGCATATGAAAGACTTCAGGCTTACACCACTTTCCAAGCTGTCTCTAAAAACCAGAGAAGTTCCTCATCCCAATACAGAACTCTCTCACATCCCTCAGTCTCTGTTCAGTTTGTACTGAGTTGTAAGGAAGAGACATCAGCATGGGGTTGCAATCTTTATGTCCTTATTTATTATGCTTCAGTAGCACGTATGGCACAGCATACAAGAAAAGACTTCTCCTACTTAACCCCAGGTGACTTCAACAGCTGGGAAAGTTTTTCTTTTATTCAAGGATTACAGAGCATCATCAGCTATTCTCAGAAATGCTGACTACTATTCCTAGTATTTATTTTTCCCTTTTATCTTAGTAAAAGAGAAATCTTGCTGGGCTGTCTTATGATAATGATTAACTGCTGAAATCCCAGGAGAGAAGCCCCATCAGCATGTCCTGCAGTAATGCTGATTGACACAGCAGTTCCAATGCAAACTTGGAGTGCTGCACTTCACAAGGGCTATATGTTGCTGTTATCAATGCAGCAGTTAATCAGCATACTGTAGGTAAAGTCTGAGACTCCTGCTTTCTCCAATTTATGGGCTAATTGTGTGGCATTTGGGGATATTTGGTCAGATCAAGCAGCAAACTGGGCAAATCTTCTGATCCCATAACTGGACACACACCTTGGGTCATACAAGACAGAATCACAGAACTGCCTCGATTGGAAAAGACCTTTAAGATCATCAGGTCCAATAAGGAGCCCAACACTGACAAGTCCCTGACTCAAACATGTCCCTCAGCACCTCATCTACATGTCTTTTAAATCCCTCCAGGGATGGGGACTCCACCACTGCCCTGGGCAACCCCTTCCAATGCCTCAGAACCCTTTCAGCAAAGAAATTCTTCCTCACATCCCATCTCAATTGCCCTGGGCACAACTTGAGGCCATTTCCTCTTGTCCTGTCACTTTTTCCTTGATTGAACAGACCCACCCCCACCTCTCTCCACCCTCCTTTCAGGGAGTTGGACAGAGCCAGAAGGTCTCCCCTCAGCCTCCTTTTCTCCAGGCTCAACAACCCCAGTTCCCTCAGCTGGGAACTCATCACACTTGTGCTCCAGACCCTTCTCCAGTTCCGTTGCCCTTCTCTGGACACGCTCCAGCACCTCCATGTCCTTCTTGGAGTGAGGGGCCCAACACTGAACCCAGCACTCGAGGTGCCCCCTCAACAGTGCCCAGCACAGGGGTAAGAGAACTTCCCTGGTCCTGCTGCCCACACTGGTGCTGACCCAGGCACACTGCTCCTGATATGGAACACACACCAGAGCAGTAGGGAACAAAATTAAACAAAATTATGTTGCAGTGAAGACAATTGCAACCTTCCAAGTGGGAGCAGCAGATGCTCAGCACTTCACAGAATTAAATCAATTATCACAATTGCCTTCCCAAACAGGAGCAGAGCAACCCTGGTGCTGGGCAGGGTGAGCCGGCTCGCTCAGTGTGGCATGGAGCACAGGTAACAGATCTGTGAGCACGGATGGTGAAGGCAGGCACACCTTGATCCTTTTGGGTCTGCTGGGTGGGCAGTTGGGCTGCCTGACAGCAGGAGCCCACGGTCCATGCTTCCTACATGTCAGAGGTTAATATTTATTTGAAGACAGCAGTGATATATTTAGCTATTTATTATAAAAAACTTCTTTTAAGGTTTTGGGGTCAGGGAGGTGGTGTTTGGGTTTTTTTGGTGGGGTTTTTTGGTTTTGGTTTGTGTTTTGTTTTTTTGGGGGTTTTTTTGCTTGTTTTTTTTTACTTGCCTGTTTAGCTGTTAAATGCATTAAACCCAAAGCCCTGCAGCACTGTGTGATCTGGAGAAAATACTATTTACATTATCTATGCTTTAATAGGATAGAGAAATGACTGACAAAGCCACTTTTTGCTATGATTACTGCCTCTGCACAGTCCAGGACTGCAAAGGCATTAATTGCTGCTTCAGTTCAGGAACAGTCAGAACTCCACGTGTTCCTCAGGTACCTTCTCCAAAAGGCATGTAACATTCTCCTCTCAGATAGGAAATATACCTAGTGGTTTTGCTAGTACCCTCAGTCTCAACAAACCACCAAAAATTATTCATGGTAATGCTAGACCTTGTGAAGGAACATCCACTATTTCTTCAGTGTTGTAGTTGTATCACCTGCTGCTTTCAAGAAAATGCAAAGAAAGGTTTTCTGAGGTTCTTCATCTGGTCTGCAAACATTTCTTTGTAGATTATTTTGTTTTCAGCTTTATTTGCAAATGTTAGCTGCTTTGCAACTGAAACAGTTCTGCTCCTTTTGCAACTCTTATGAAGGAGTTACAAGATTCACAAGGTTCATTTTTCCAGTGGACTTCTACGACATTGAACTTAGAAGGCTCCAAAAGTTTCAGTTTCAACATTTCTGTGATGATGGAAAAGTCCTTCCCAGCCATGGGATGAAGCATCAGCACTATGTGAGAAGTTCAAGGCAACTCAGCAGTTCTGGGTCTCAATCTCTATATTCCTGCCTGCAAGGAACAGAGCTTGGCCAACGTGGGTGGATTGACAAGAAGATGGCAAAAAGCACATCCCTGCCAGAAGGAAACCCTGCCAGCCTCTGAGCCACTAAAAACAGAAGTTCTACAGCTCCTCAGAGAAAAGGTGCCAAGAAGATGCTACCAAGGGCAAACCACCCACATGTTTTCTTCCCTCTTCATCTTTTGGAAGCAACCAAACCATTCTGGCTGGAAGTTTCTATGTGAAAAGGTAACACAAGTCAGCTCAGAGCAAACACCCTGCTAGCTTGAGATGAGACACAGAAAACAGGGTCTTGTGACAACTGTAAGGTCATGAATGGAAAGCACTACATTTATTTTCTCCTCCATAATCTTCTCTCAAGAATTTAAAAACATAAATATGTCCAACATGAGTGATTTGGAAACTGAGACTTGTATTTTTTTTAAATTTTTTTCTTTTAGTAGACATCACCCAGGCTTCCCCATATTCCTCACACCTACTGTGGCGAGGGATATTTAGCCTCTTTGTCCCCATTTTGGTTCCTGCTGCAATGAACAGATTTACACCACAACACAGATAACTATATAGCATTTCCATTTAAAAAAAAATATATATTTCAGAAGATTTCTGAGAAGAACATTTATTTTGTATAATAATTCCTGGTAAGAATGAGAGGAACACAAACAATATCTGAACCCAGTTAGGTGGGTGCTTTGCTCCAGTACTGGTAAGGCTGTGGAGCTGCTTCCTTCCCATCAGAGGGCAGCAGCTGCCTGTGACTGCTGCCGCGTCCCTCTATCGTAGCTGTAAAACTACCTTTGTAAAGTGGACGATAAAGCAGCTTTCTAAGCAAAATATTTGTGACTTTGGTTTAACGATCATTTGTAGAATCTTCAATAATTTATAGTTAAATAACCTCCATAATTTCTGTCTGACTACGTACTGTTTCTGTTGTATTCAAGACTATTTTTTTTTTAAGATCGGCACGATGATGCAGCACGACAGCAACATCCTTGGATGATGTGACAGACTGACTCATAATAATGCTTCTTAGGAATCCAGTCCAACCTTCCCAACATTTTACCAAACAGAAAAATAATAGAAGACACATAGAAGAATCAATCGTAGAATGGTCTGGGTTGGAAGGGACCTTAAAGATCATCCAGTTCCAACCCCCTGCCATCAGCAGGGACACCTTCCACTAGACCAGGTTGCTCAAAGCTTCATCCAACCTGGTCTTGAACATGTCCAGGGAGGAGCAGCCACAGCTTCTCTGGCCAACCTGGGCCAGTGTCTCACCACCCTCACACCAAAGAATTTCTTCCTCAGATCTCATCTAAACCTCCCCTCTTCCAGTTTAAAGCCATTTCCCCTTGTTCTGTCACTCCCTGCCCTTGTAAAAAGTCCCTCCCCAGCTTCCTTGTAGCCCCTTCGGGTACTGGAAGGCCACTAGAAGGTCTCCCCAGTGCTTCCTCTTCTCCAGCCTGAACAGCCCCAACTATCCCAGCCTGTCCTCACAGCAGAGGTGCTCCAGCCCTCTGATAATCCTCGGGGCCTTCTCTGGACTCACTTCAGTAGGTCCATGCCCTTCTAACTTTGGGGACCGTAGAATTGGACGTAGTTGGATGATCTGTTGGATTTATTAAAGATAAAAGTATATTTATTAAAGATAAAAGTATATCTCTTCTTGGAAAGGTCCTTTGGGAAGATGCACAGATCCATGTTTTTCTCTAAAACATTTCAGAGATGTACTAGGAACAAAAAAGTGTCAGGCAGGACAAGCATTTTTCTGCTCAATGTTCAAATAGTAGGACTCTGCTTAAAAAGAGAGTCTTCATAAAGATGGGAAATAGCAGGAGTATTAAGCATGCATCTAATTTTAATCACATTAAAACACGTGCCCAATGCTAGGTGCCCACCGAAACGCTTTGCTGACTTAGGAGAGAAATGCACATTTCAATATTGTCTTCCAATTAGTTCAATGGTTTATTTAGATCAGGCTCTGGAACCTGTAAAACCAGCTCTCTGGCCATCTTAAAAAAAAACAAACTGAAACAAAAACCCAAAGCCATCTGCATAAACCCAAAAGGGAGCAGAGGGAGCAGCAGTACCTTTTCCACAGAACGTTCCCATCCATCCTGCCGCACAAGTACAGGCTCCGCTCACATGGTCACAGGCAGCTCCGTTCTGGCACTGACAGCTGGACTCACAGCTCGGGCCAAAGCTTCCCTCGGGGCATCCTGCAGTGGAGGAATCAAACCCCGATGATGGGTTAATCCTGGAGCAGATCAGGGATCAACGGGGAATTTTTACATATGTGGGAATTCTTACTATTCGTGAAAGAATCAAGGTGTAACACTAATGCCCTAAAATTCATGTGGCTAAATGTTCTCCTTGGGATCCAGGTAAGTCAGGCTGTTTTTATTATGGTCTATTTTAGAAAAAGACCAGAGTGTTGAAAGACTAAATTCTGCACAGAAAAACCAATATCCTCTGAGAGTTGCAAAGCCTCCAACTTCACAGGTTCTGCTTGATGACACTTTGCACACTGGTCTGGAATCGCTTACATGCACATCTCCTCTGGGACTTCATCAGTCAAAAGAGGGGAGAAGGTCCCAGCTTCTGTACCTCCTTTTGAGGCCCTATCCTCTGCTTTCCTGCAAATCCTTCTTCCCTAGAAAGCTGGAGAAAATATAAAACGTGGTGGCTTCCTTCAGAAAGCTCCAAACTGAAAGCTGCATACTTCACTTTCAGGCTCTGCCTTGAAAAATTCAAGCAAAAACATTACATCTGGGGGAGAGATTAACAATTACATTTCCACAGCAGTGAGCGTAAGGAGTTTCAAAAGGTTTGCACAGTACTCAACTATCTGAAGAAAGAAAACACCACTTGAGAATAAAAATAATTTCTTCCAGGATTACAGGAAAATCAATTAAGAATAGGGCCAGTTGCCTAATTCACAGGACGTATTTTGGACAGGCTGAAATATAGAGATATGCTTGGCTAAACACAATATTACAGGGTCTCCACTCATGTTTGAAGGTCTTGTGAACTACCCTCTAAATGAGTTAGGTAGATGATTGCCAGATCTCTTTGAAAAGTGTATGACTTGAGCATTTACATCAACAAAGTGTTTTTTTCAGGCAGTCTGGAAAGAATCAGAGAGAACAGAAAACAACGAGGATCTTCAAAGACAACTCTGCATCTGGAATAAAGGGTGGGGTTGGTGCTGCCTGTTTGGTACTGTAGGTGGGCAGTGAGAGGAGCCAGCATGAATTCGGTTGCTCCTGCAGCTTAGTGACTCCCTAGTAACTGGAGCCAGCCCCTGGGTCTCTTATAGACGCTATAGGTTGGGATGGGAGACAGAAGAACAGCAAGGTGCTATAAGTATTTCTTTGCTTTCCATCATCTGTGTTGGAAAACGCGCCGTTGTTTAAATGGGGAGTTGTTTGAATGTATTTTTTGCACTTACAGTTGGAATTCAGTCCCAGGGTTGGTTCGGTGCAAATCCAGAAGAGGCCACAAGATTGGTGAAGGGCTTAGAGGGGAAACTGTATGAGGAGAGGCTGAAGTCACTGGGTTTGTTCAGCCTGAGAGGAGATCTCATTGTGGTCTAGAACTTCCTCCCAAGGGGAAGAGGATGGGCAGGCGCTGATCTCTTCTCTCTGGCCACCAACGCCAGGAGCAGAGGAAATGGCAGGAAGATGTGCCAGGGGAGGGTGAGGTTGGCCATGAGGAAAAGGTTCTTGAGGCACAGAGGGTGGTGGAGCACTGGAACAGGCTCCCCAGGGAGGTGCTCATGGCGTCAAGCCTGAGAAGATTCCAGAAGCATTTGGACAACACCCTCAGGGACATGGTCTGAATGTTGGCATTGTCCTGTGCAGGGACAGGAGTTGGACTGGGATCCTTGTGGGTCCCTTCCAACTCACAACATTCTATGATTCTGTGATCCCATTTGCATCAACTCCTATTCCCAGAGCTGTGGATCATTGTGCATCACGCCTCCTATACTAGTTCAACGAGTAAATACACAGAAGTGCACTTGTGCCTTAAAAGCTTGATGCTCCTCAGTGTTTGCTTTTCACTTGAAATTTCAGAGTCGAGGGGATCTATGCAAGGAAAACGGAGTTCCAGTGCAGTAATAGGTGTAGGGCTCTCAGCTGAGCTTTCTTAAAACCTACAGCGTTTAGCCTCAAGCTGAGATTTTCAAGGTGATGGCAACGGGTCAGTACACTTCACAAATGATTTTGCAGACCACATCACAGAGAATCTGCCTCCTGTTCAGGCAGGTGCAGCTGCTACAATGCATATCGAGATATATCCACCTCGCTGAGAACCTGAGCTGCCTGGAAACCACAAAGGGAACGAGCCTGACCTGCAGCGAGGGGCTAGAGATGCCTCGGGAGCAGAGGAGCTCTCCGAGGAGAATAAAGATCTCTCCTCCAAGGCAGCATCAAATGTCTAGGGAAGAATTATGGCTTTCATAATTTTGCATATGCACATATATATATTTATGATTTTTTTGTACATACACACACACGTGTATATATATATATATATATATACACACACACACGCAAACACACACAAAGTGGGGTAAAAAGCAGACTGAAGAAAACAGAAAACTTACAGACAGAAGATTAGTGGTTGCCAGATGTTTAGTTGGTGGCAATGGCTTCACTAATTACCTTGGCAGAGAAGAAGACAACCAGCTATTTGGTTACTTTCTATCTGCGGAGATGGGTTTTTTTGAGAGATATCAAGAGTGAAAGAGAAGTGGAGCTGGTAGCCCTTTCTCTGGGAGCTGGTCTTCCCAGTAACTGTCCTTCCATTCCCTCTGTGCCAAGAGCAACAAGTGCTGTAAGATCAACTTTCCAGGGTTTTTGTCTTAGGTCACCATTCCAGATTAATTACTTTGACATTTCTGTGTGACACCAGCAGTTAATTCTGCCAACACTACTGAGACTCTAGTAGCTATATCTGTGCTACTGTAAGACTGTTAAACTAAAAGAGAAAATATTTATTTTATTCAACAGCATCAATATAATCAATAATAATAATAGCAGCTTAACTATGCAACTTATTGCCACAACATGAAGGGGATACCAAATGTTTGTATGGAATCAAAAAGGAAATAAGCATGTTAATTGGGAAAAAAAAAAAAATCAAGTTGTATTAAATATAGAGATATTGGTTCTGTCTCAGGAAGCTCCTGAGTGACAAATTGATGAAACCTGGGGAAACATACCAGAAATTATCTATATGCCTGTTTTTATCCTATTAAGGCATCTACTATTGACCTCTGTTAGAGACAGTTTAGTGCAGATCATAGTACTCTGGTAAGACCGTTGCACTTGTTTGTTGTTAATAAATAAAAGACCCTAAATCTTCCTGCCTTTGCTTCTGTTATGTACATGTGAGGCATTTCTATACGCCTGGCCTTAAAAAAAGATATTTTTTTTAAGGATCTAAAACTAGATAAATAAAAAAGATATGGAAACTTCTATGCCACAAGCCAAATACACATCAATTCTATCAGTCACACAAGGTCTTAACAATAAAAATAGCTGTTGAGTCCAAAACAAGTCTGAAAATAACTTTTCTGGAATCCAAATTAGGGAAACTATCTGACCCCGATGAAACCAGAGCGTCCTGTGACGCGCTGGGCAGACTGGAGGAAGTACAGCCTGGAGGTCTTCATGGAGGGAATCATCAGGAAAAATAATTTATGTTTTTTCCAATTCCTCATGTTAACAAAGTGGCAACTTACTAGATTCGCAGTGCTTCCCAGTGAATCCCGGCTCACAGAAGCAGGAGCCGGTGACTGGATCGCAGCTACCGTCGCTATTATTGCAGACACACGTGTTTTCACAGCGCTGTCCCCAACGGCCACTATTGCAGGCTGCAATGTAAACCAGTATTTACATCAACAAACAACTTTGAACTCAGCTAATGGATTATTTTCTATCTAAATGAGAGAACAGAAAAGATGCAAAAATGGTCCCTTAATATAGAGGTGCTCTGGGCTCTACAGGTGCTCAGCTGCAGCATGGGGCACAAATCAATGGAAAAAAAGACAAATTTTGCTGATTTCTTTCAGCTGAAGTCCATAGACAGGTATTACACCATCCACATAAAACTAATAATTCATAGTCAATTCATATCAATCAATCCACATTCCCAAACACATAATTTCATGGAACTAAAATATCAACTATTGCCTCACTTAGCAAAAATCTGCTTCACTACAACAGCTAGCAGGTAAAACAAGACAGATCTGTGAGCATCCTCCATATTTTCCTCGAAATACTGGGAAATGCAACACGGACACAGAGAAATCTCACAATCTTTGTTAAAGCAACCTACTGCTTTCACATGCAATCACATAACACTGACATCAGCATGACAATGTACCAGAGCTGAAGCACAGCATCTCCTTCCTTCCTTGTAAGGATAAAGATGAAAGTGCCATTTAGGGCAATAAAAACCTGGTTTTGGAGTTGGGCATCTGTTTCACTCCTGATCTGCAATATTGGAGCTGCCTTACTGAGATGTCACTGCAACATGACTGTTCTCATACCTTTTCCTGAATAGAAATGAAAGCTTTTCTTTGCTGTAGTCTCTGAATTCTTTAGACAGCCAAGAGAGTTATGGAAAGCTATCTAAATGGCTTCACACATTACAGAATCACAGAATTGCCTAGATTGGAAAAGACCTTTAAGATCGAGTCCAACCATAAACCTAACACTACCAATTCCATCTCTAAACCATGTCCCTCAGCACTATGTCTACATGACTCTTCAATCCCTCCAGGGATGGGGACTCCACCACTGCCCTGGGCAACCTCTTCCAATGCCTGAAATTACCAACTGGTTTGATTTTTCAAATATGCAAATTGGTGGAAACTTCAGATTTTCCCAGTTTTCTTCAGTACAAGGTCTGAGAAGCCAGGTCCAAAACTTACTGCTGTCCACACTGGCAATTAATTTATACCATTTTATGTCTTTAAGACTAAGTTTAGAAAGAGGTTTGTATTCTGTTGCCTTTCTGCAAGAGGGATTATAATAAATCGAGTAGAAAAGATGTGAAACAGGAAAAGGAATGAATCAAGCAGGATGGCTTAACTTTTATATGGTGCTATCCAAAAAGGGTAAATTTGTACTCTTACATGGCCATCAATATGGAGAGTGATGCTAAAGTCAACAGAAGGATGCTCTGCTCTTCCAGAGAACAGAATTTCTCCCAGCATTTATATTCACAAGTTAAGGAATGACCTTAAGACACACGACTGTACATGCCACTCACTTGTTGAATAAATCTCCCCTAAACAAAATGAAAAATTGAGAATTAATCTTAAAACTAATCTGTGCTGAAAATGAAAAGCACAAGTGTCTGTCAGTCAAAATGCTGACGAGACAGATGGTATTGGGCAAAGGGATCCATGGTGTTGAAATAAGAGCTTATATCAATACTTTGCGCTTCATCAGCCATCTATTTCACTACTTTGAACCTAGATAATTAAGGATTATAACCACCCAGGCTGTGCAAACCCATAAACACACAATTTCAGAAGCAATACGATTAGCAAAAATATATTAAAAAAAAACCCTAAAACTGTAATAGACTAAGAACAAACAGAGCTGGGTCTTACACTTACAGCTCAGGCCCTGGGAGATACCGTGTGCCCTGTGGAGCAAATACCCATTTCACTTACGGTGTTTGCAGTCATGGCCAGTCCAGCCGGGGGGACATGTGCACTCTCCAGTGACATGGTGACACTGAGAACCGCCGCTACAGCTGCATAACTGTTGGCAATTTTGTCCATAGTAACCATCAGGGCAGGCTGAAAACAGAAGAACAGGCTGTAATTTCACCTAGATAGGAACTGGGGCACAGACTGAGCTTTATAAACAAGACAACAGCTTGCCCTCTAAAACATGCATTAGGTGAATCCAGAAATCCAAACAGCAGAATGAAGGAAATATCTGTAATTTGTATAATAAGTGCCTGGGGCTGAGTCCTGTAAAATGGGAATAGCTTGGGTGACTTTTGGGTACTTCTCCTGCACATCAAGATCAAAGAGTGGAGGAAAAAACAAAGAGAGTGCTGAGCAAACCTTTGTCAAAAGCAGAAAAAATATGAGACCACTGAGGTCTTACATGAAACAGTGCTGTCCTCAAGAGCCTGTCTATACTGCCAGCATGAAAACCATACCCAAGCAGCCTTTAATACCCAGAGGTCAGGAGCCACGCCACTGTAACACAGACCAGTTGCTTTAGCATATTCCCATGGTCTCTGTTGGATCTGCAGAGACAGCACTGATACTACTCCTTCACCCTCACTACTATTTAATCCCAAATTACATACATCAAGGAGTGCTGCTGCAAACGTGACCCCAAAGTGACACCATTGGTCAGCACCTCTCGCCAAGCAACCAGGATTGCAATGCAAGTATTGTAGCTGTTAAACATTGTATTTTTAAGTATATTTTGCCATAATTTAGGTCTAGTAATAGCATTGATTTGGGATGAAGTTTAGCTGATCATCTGTATTTATCTGTAACCTCCCTCTTGTAAACAATGCCAAATCCAACCTGGGGAATTCCTGAAGCTGAAGGGTACTTTATCTTAGATCAGTGTGTCTAACATAACAAGCATCTCACACAACAGCAAGAAGGCAGAAATCAAACTGACTTTTCAAGGGGAAGGTTGATGTGAGGACTCACCTGATGAGCAGGATGACCCGGTGTAGCCAGGGGAACAGTCGCAGGCTCCAGTTTCTCTGTTGCACTGGCCTCCATTGGCGCAGGGCTCACAGAAGGACTGGCAGTCTGGTCCCCACCGACCCGCTGGGCAATCTAGGGAAAAAAACACACAAGATGTTCCTAGTGCCATTTTCTGTTTCAAGGCACTTATAGATTTCTGCCATTACCTGGAAGAATTTCAAAATAACAGTAAACCTGCTGGATAAATGATTGTTTTATTACCTCTCTAGACCTACAGTGCTGTCCCAGTCACAGTAAGCCTTCTGAAAGGGTCAACATGCCCCTGTACTGCACCATGCAAGAACATCTCTAAAGACAGACCCAAAGGTTCTCTTCCAACGTCCATCATGGTGCATGTGGTTTTTTGTTTGGTTTCTGATACAGTAATGTCAATAA